CCCTGTGGTCAGGTGTATACTGTTAGTGGACCCTGTGGTCAGGTGTATACTGTTAGTGGTCCCTGTGGTCAGGTGTATACTGTTAGTGGTCCCTGTGGTCAGGTGTATACTGTTAGTGGACCCTGTGGTCAAGCAATTAAAATTTGATGGATACCCCATTTTAAAATGAAGTGTTCTTGTATTTTGTTCACCAATTTGATTTTTACCTTTTTCTTAAATTTTGCTTTTTACCCATTACAAAATTCCCAATTCCATATGGACCCTGAACCAAAGAAAATAAACTTTTATAGAATATCCCTGTGTGTTAATTGTTGGTATAAAAATATCGCTTCTGCCTGTAAAAACAGTAAAGATTTTTTTTCAAAGCTAAAATGAAATATTGCCATTAAGGTAGCATTTGATGATATTATTTAAACAGCTTCAAAAGAATCAAAATCTGCTCAGTATTACATTTGTATAAGTTGTTTAAAAATATAACAGGATTTTAGTTTTCTGTCTTTCCCTGTGTGAGATTAATAGAATCTCTCACCCCCTTGGGGGGTGAGATAGGGGAATCTCAACCTTAGGGTTGAGATTCCCCTATCTCACCCTAAAGGGAGTGAATGATTCTTTTTCTCTTACCCTGTTCACCCATTGTGTATGATATTCACAATGTAATGATAATGTTACATGTTAAATTCAGGGTTGACGTGACGTTGATGGATTGTTGATGTGACATCATTGTATTGTTGAGGTGACGTCATACCATTGTTATGATTAGGGGAATCCCCCCGTCTCAACCCCAGGGTGAGACAAGGAAATCTAACACCGGTAAAAGTGTGGATACACCTGGCCAGGGTAAGAGAATCCTTGTTTCCCCTATTCATAACAATTGTATGACGTCACGTGCACGTCAACAATAAATCAATGTCGCATCAAACCCTGCATTTAGCCTAAATTGTTAACATAACATTATGTAAATATGATACACAATGGGTGAATAGGGTAAGAGAAAAAGAATCATTCACCCCCTTGATGTGAGATTGGGAATCTCAACCCTTCGGTCAAGATTGTTAAGTTGCCAAACACGAGGCTTCACTACTATGACGTCACCTCAACAATGCATCAACACCACAGCAAGGGGGTGAATGACTATTTTTCTCTTACCCTGATAGATTGGGAATCTCGACCCTCGGGGCAAGATTGTAAAGCCTGTGTTCGGTAAATTAAGAATCTCCCCCCTCATGCTTGTTGAGATTACCCTATCTCACCCCCAAGAGGGTGAAAGATTCTGTTAATCTTTCACCAGCAAAAGTGTTGATACACCTGTCCTGGGTGAGAGAATATGGTATCTCAAAAGTGTAACACACAGTAGGAATTCTATCGGATGAAAGCAACAGACATAAGACTACAGGCATTGTTTGATGTATAATATCCTGTTTGTAGCTGTGTATCCGATATCACCGGAGCAGCAGAGATGTTGGGAGGACGCGTCAAAACACTCCACCCTGCAGTCCATGGAGGTATATAGTAGTGAAATTATTGCAGGGATACTTTAAAATTTGATGAGGTCTCAAAAGTAGTTAAGGTGCATCTCGAGTTCCCTGACTGGTACTCAGATGTTATCTGCCATTCATGACTTAATAATTTTTAGTCCTATCTAAAGAGAAAAAATGAAAAATAGATCACTTACATTGTAGACAATGTAGTTGTGGTTAGAGATTAAATATCGGATCATAATGAAAATCTTGGGTAACATTGTGGAACACTCGCTACATCTTTTTCTTGTAAATGAAATTTAATACTCTTGCAATGCAAATATCCATGAATTCACCACTTTTGGGCAAGGGTAAAAGAATAGTTCATCCCTTTGAGGTCAAGATGATCAAATGTCAACCCTGGGGGTAAGATTCTAGAATTGTTGATTTCTCTGCAAGCCAAATAGGTATGACCTAAAGTTTGGAGAGGTGTAAATTTGATTCTGATGAGTGAAGTGTTTAGCCTGCCAAGTATATATCATTTTACAATCATGTAAACAGTTTTAAAGATGACTTTTGGCTGTGCTCCTTGTCACTTTCTAAGGTATTCTGGCACGTCTGACAGAATCGGACCAGGCTGACATGAAGAAGGCGGGATATACAATGATACGGTGAGTCCTCCATTTACCACTATCTTCTGAGACAGTATTCCTCCAGTGAGCAATTTCAACCCCAAAGCAGTTAATGTAACCCTATTTATCAAAGGCTGGGGTACAGAATCATGAAAATATACCACCAAATCCAAAACTGATGGGAATTATTGAGCAAGTTGCAATACTTTTGAAATATTGATTGATATTTAACCGGTTCATGGATTTAATTTGGATGTTTGGTTTTTAGTGGTGTTTAAGTTCACACTGTTGGCATATAGCTTGTATCTTTTGTTGTTTTCACTCTGGAAGCATGTAACTTTAATGTATATGTTTGTTGTTTTCACACTACTAGCATTTGACATATATAACTTGTGCTGATTTTGTTTTCAGTCTTGTTGATGGAACTTGTATGTGTTAGGTGTTTACAGTCTTGTTTATGGTTTTTGTATGTGGTAGGTGTTTTCAGTCTAGTAGAATGTAACTTGTTTGTGTTAGGAGTTTTCAGTCTAGTAGAATGTAACTTGTTTGTGTTAGGAGTTTTCAGTCTAGTAGTATGTAACTTGCATGTGCTAGGTGTTTACAGTCTTGTTTATGGTTTTTGTATGTGGTAGGTGTTTTCTGTTTTGTTGATGTATCTTGTATGTGTTTGGTGTTTTCAGTCTTGTAGTATGTAACTTGTATGTGTTAGGTGTTTTCAGTCTTGTTGATGGAACTTGTGTGTGCTAGGTGTTTTCAGTCTAGTAGTATGTAACTTGTATGTGCTAGGTGTTTACAGTCTTGTTGATGGAACTTGTATGTGTTAGATGTTTTCAGTCTTGTTGATGGGACTTGTGTGTGCTAGGTGTTTTCAGTCTTGTAGTATGTAACTTGTATGTGTTAGGTGTTTTCATCCTTGTTGATGGAACTTGTATGTGTTAGATGTTTTCAGTCTTGTTGATGGAACTTGCATGTGTTAGATGTTTTCAGTCTTGTTGATGGAACTTGTCTGTGTAAGGTGTTTACAGTCTTGTTGATGGAACTTGCATGTGTTAGGTGTTTTCAGTCTAGTAGTATGTAACTTGTATGTGCTAGGTGTTTACAGTCTTGTTGATGGAACTTGTATGTGTTAGATGTTTTCAGTCTTGTTGATGGGACTTGGATGTGTTAGGTGTTTTCAGTCTTGTTGATGAAACTTGTATGTGTTAGGTATTTTCAGTCTTGTTGATGGAACTTGTATGTGTTAGGTATTTTCAGTCTTATTGATGGAACTTATATGTGTTAGGTGTTTTCAGTCTTGTTGTTGGAACTTGTATGTGTTAGGTGTTTACAGTATTGTTGTTGGAACTTGTATGTGTTAGGGGTTTTCAGCCTAGTAGTATGTAACTTGTATGTGTTAGATGTTTTCAGTCTTGTTGATGGAACTTGTGTGTGTTAGGTGTTTTCAGTCTTGTTGATTGAACTTGTGTGTGCTAGGTGTTTTCAGTCTACTAGTATGTAACTTGTATGTGCTAGGTGGTTACAGTCTTGTTGATGGAACTTGTATGTGTAAGGTGTTTACAGTCTTGTTGATGGAACTTGTATGTGTTAGGCGTTTTCAGTCTAGTAGTATGTAACTTGCATGTGCTAGGTGTTTACAGTCTTGTTGATGGAACTTTTATGTGTTAGGTGTTTACAGTCTTGTTGATGGAACTTGCATGTGTTAGGTGTTTTCAGTCTAGTAGTATGTAACTTGCATGTGCTAGGTGTTTACAGTCTTGTTGATGGAACTTTTATGTGTTAGGTGTTTACAGTCTTGTTGATGGAACTTGTATGTGTAAGGTGTTTACAGTCTTGTTGGTGGAACTTGTATGTGTTAGGTGTTTTCAATCTTGTTGATGGAACTTGTATGTGTTAGATGTTTTCAGTCTTGTTGATGGGACTTGGATGTGTTAGGTGTTTTCAGTCTTGCTGATGGAACTTGTGTGTGCTAGGTGTTTTCAGTCTTGTAGTATGTAACTTGTATGTGTTAGGTGTTTTCAGTCTTGTAGTATGTAACTTGTATGTGTTAGGTGTTTTCGGTCTTGTTGATGGAACTTGTATGTGTTAGATGTTTTCAGTCTTGTTGATGGAACTTGCATGTGTTAGATGTTTTCAGTCTTGTTGATGGGACTTGGATGTGTTAGGTGTTTTCAGTCTTGCTGATGGAACTTGTGTGTGCTAGGTGTTTTAAGTCTAGTAGTATGTAACTTGTATGTGTTAGATGTTTTCAGTCTTGTTGATGGGACTTGTGTGTGCTAGGTGTTTTCAGTCTAGTAGTATGTAACTTGTATGTGTTAGATGTTTTCAGTCTTGTTGATGGAACTTGTATGTGTTAGGTATTTTCAGTCTTGTTGATGGAACTTATATGTGTTAGGTGTTTTCAGTCTTGTTGATGGAACTTGTGTCTGTTTATGGGTTTCAGTCTGGTAGCATGTAACTTGTATCCGTTTGTAAAGACTGTAGCTGACCCCAGTGTACTGCCTGAGAATGCTGTGGAACAAATAGACATAGGTTTGTGAACTTGTATATATCCAAACAACTGGAAAAAGACTACAAAGTATTGATTTATTTTGATAACATATTCTGAACATGTGTCCACAAAAGACAAAAAATATTACAGAACATAAATGTATTTTGATCAGTAAAAGTGCATGCCCTTTAATACGTAATTTAAGTGTTAATATTTTAGAAATTGTTCTTTAGATTCCATGCCTTGTCTTCCAAATTAATTGGTCTCGGCTTGGATAATTATGATATTTAATACATTTTTAGCTCACCTGGCCCGAAGGGCCAAGTGAGCTTATTCCATGGTGCGGCGTCCGGCGTCCGGCGTCCGGCAACTTTTTCCTTTAAAATGCTACTTGTCCTGAATGGCTCAGAGGATTTTGACCAAATTTGGTCAGGAGCATCATTGGCCAAAGGGTTCTCAGTTTTGTATAAACAGAGGGTATAACCCCCCTGGGGGCAGAGGGGCGGGGCCAAATAGGGGGAAAATAGGTAAATCTTTAAAAATCTTCTTCTTCTCAACCAATAGAAGGATTTTGACCAAATTTGTCCTAGAGCATCTTTGGACAAAGAAGACTCAAGTTTGTATAAACGGAGGGTGTGGCCCCTCTGGGGGCGGAGGGGCGGGGCCCAATAGGGGAAATAGAGGATTTTTTTTCTCCTGCTATACAAGTGAAGGGATTTTAACCAAATGCAGTCTGAAGCATGATTAGGGACAAAAGAATCAATTTTGTATAAACTGAGGTGTGTGGGCCTCCTTCTAAGGGCAGATGGGTGGGGCCCATTAGGGGAAATAGAGGAAAACATCAAATATCCTTCTCCTTTTGTACCGATGAAGGGATTTTGACCAAATTTGGTCTGGAGCATCATTGGCCAAAGGGTTCTCAGTTTTGTATGAACGGAGGGTATGGTCCCCCTGGGGGCAGAGGGACGGGGCCAAATAGGGGAAAATAGGTAAATCTTTAAAAATCTTCTCCTCAACCAATTGAAGGATTTTGACCAAATTTGTCCTAGAGCATCTTTGGACAAAGGAGACTCAAGTTTGTATAAACGGAGGGTGTGGGCCTTCTGGCGGCATAGGAGCGGGGCCCAATAGGGGAAATAGAGGATTTTTTTTCTCCTACTATACAAGTGAAGGGATTTAAACCAAATGCAGTCTGAAGCATGCTTAGGGAGAAAAGAATCAATTTTGTTTAAACTGAGGTGTGTGGATTCCCCTTCTTTGGGGCAGATTAGTGGGGCCCATTAGGGGAAATAGAGGAAAACATTAAAGATCCTTCTCCTTCTGTACCGTTGAAGGGATTTTAACCTAACCAAACTTGTTTTAGAGAATCTTTGGGCAAAGGGAATTGAATATTTATAAATGGAAGATGCAACTTTGTTACTTGTACTCCTTTGATAAACCTGAATGGTACTCAGCAGGTTTTAAATTGAAAAATAAAATACCAGGTGAGCTATTAAGGCCCCTGGGCCTCTTGTTTGTTATGCCTGTAGTGTGATTGACAGTTATGATATGGATTTACATTTTGTTTTTAGGGGGAGTGACCCTACTGCGTGCAGCTGCCAAGAACCATGCCCGTGTGACAGTGGTGTGTGACCCAGCCGACTACAGCCGGTGTGTCATTGTTCTCATTGTTTGTGTTAAATGTCCTGGTCATTTAAAGACGTGCCCGGTTTTTATGGGGGAGGAAAGTTGGAGTACCTAGCTATACAGCAAAACCACCGACTTGCAGCCAGTAACTGGGGACTGCCTCATGTAGGACTCGAACTTGTGACCCAGTGGTGGAAGGCTGGTGATTGTAGACGGTCGAACGCTGTAACTTAACTCAGCCACCACTGTCCCCTTGTTGCTGGCTTAATCAGAACATTAAAATGTCATCAAGGCCAAATATACTATTGCCTTATTTTCTGACCTATCCCAGCTTTTATCACCAACCCACATCATTTACCCCCTTTTGATAAAAACACCCATGACCTTTGGTTTAATTTGTTTACTTTTTTTTAATCCAAAAATAATTTGTGTCGTGGCTGTTAAAGTATTGGTCATTAAAGATAAACATAGTTTTTATTAGCTCACCTGCCCAAAGGGCAAGTGAGCTTATGTTATGGTGCGGCATCCGTCCTCCGTCCGTCCGTCCGTCGTCCGTCTGTCTGGCGTCAAGTTTTGCTTTAAACAACTTCTTCTCAATAACCAAAAGGCCTAGGAAGATGATATTTGGCCAGTAGCATGCTGGGATCAAGGGCTACCAAGTTTGTTCAAATAAATGACCTTGACCCACTTTCAAGGTCACAGGGGTCAACTGTCGTAAAATCTTCAAACTTCTCCTCCTCAATAACCAAAAGGCCCAGTGTACTGATATTGGGCCTGTAGCATGCCGGGATGAAGGGCTACCAACTTTGTTCAAATAAATGACCTTGACCAATTTTCAAGGTCACAGGGGTCTAATGTCGTAAAATCTTCAAACGACTTCTTCTCAATAACCAAAAGGCCCAGGGTACTGATATTGGGCCTGTAGCATGCTGGGATGAAGGACTACCATGTTAGTTCAAATGAATGACCTTGATCCACTTTCAACCTAATGTCCTTGTTCAACAATCAAGGTCAGAGGCGTCATATGTTTAAATCTTTTAATAGGTTCTTATGAAATCTTAAGATTACAAGTGTTAGATTAATAACAGGTGAGCGATGCAGGCCCATTGGGCCTCTTATTCTCAACTGTTTTATTATCGATTGTAGTTAAGTATACCTACCCATTAGGTTTATGATTGAGAGATAATATAAAGATTGTACCGTTATGACAAGCACAATATTAATTGATCACCAACCTTCTATGACTGCTTGATAATCACAATATAAAAGTATCTGCATACATGTTTCTGTTTAAACATATATTTAAAGCGTTTTGGAAGAAATGAAGAATAATTCCACCATTGATACCAGAGAGGCTACCAGGCAACGACTGGCAGTGAAGGTAAGTGTCTTGATGTTGCTAGGCAATAATAGGGAAGGGGGTGAGCAATCGGAGGAGGCTGCTTCTAGTGCTAGACGATGATTCGTAGTCAAGGTGAGTGTCTTGATGTCGCTAGGCAATATTAGGGGATGGTGTGAGCAATCAGAGGAGGCTGCTACTAGTGCTAGACGATGATTCGTAGTCAAGGTCAGTGTCTTGATGTCGCTAGGCAATAGAAGGTGAGGGGGTGAGCTATCGGAGGAGGCTGCTACTAGTGCTAGACGATGATTCGTAGTCAAGGTAAGTGTCTTGATGTCGCTAGGCAATAGTAGGGGAGTGGGTGGGCAATCGGAGGAGGCTGCTAATAGTGCTAGACGATGATTTGAGTCGAGGTAAGTGTCTTGATGTCGCTAGGCAATAATAGGGGAGGGGGTGAGCAATCGGAGCAGGCTGCTACTAGTGCTAGACGATGATTCGTAGTCAAGGTAAGTGTCTTGATGTCGCTAGGCAATAATAGGGGAGGGGGTGAGCAATCGGAGGAGGCTGCTACTAGTGCTAGACGATGATTCGTAGTCAAGGTAAGTGTCTTGATGTCGCTAGGCAATAATAGGGGAGGGGGTGAGCAATCGGAGGAGGCTGCTACTAGTGCTAGACGATGATTCGTAGTCAAGGTAAGTGTCTTGATGTCGCTAGGCAATAATAGGGGAGGGGGTGAGCAATCGGAGGAGGCTGCTACTAGTGCTAGACGATGATTCGTAGTCAAGGTAAGTGTCTTGATGTCGCTAGGCAATAATAGGGGAGGGGGTGAGCAATCGGAGGAGGCTGCTACTAGTGCTAGACGATGATTCGTAGTCAAGGTAAGTGTCTTGATGTCGCTAGGCAATAATAGGGGAGGGGGTGAGCAATCGGAGGAGGCTGCTACTAGTGCTAGACGATGATTCGTAGTCAAGGTAAGTGTCTTGATGTCGCTAGGCAATAATAGGGGAGGGGGTGAGCAATCGGAGCAGGCTGCTACTAGTGCTAGACGATGATTCGTAGTCAAGGTAAGTGTCTTGATGTCGCTAGGCAATAATAGGGGAGGGGGTGAGCAATCGGAGCAGGCTGCTACTAGTGCTAGACGATGATTCGTAGTCAAGGTAAGTGTCTTGATGTCGCTAGGCAATAATAGGGGAGGGGGTGAGCAATCGGAGCAGGCTGCTACTAGTGCTAGACGATGATTCGTAGTCAAGGTAAGTGTCTTGATGTCGCTAGGCAATAATAGGGGAGGGGGTGAGCAATCGGAGCAGGCTGCTACTAGTGCTAGACGATGATTCGTAGTCAAGGTAAGTGTCTTGATGTCGCTAGGCAATAATAGGGGAGGGGGTGAGCAATCGGAGCAGGCTGCTACTAGTGCTAGACGATGATTCGTAGTCAAGGTAAGTGTCTTGATGTCGCTAGGCAATAATAGGGGAGGGGGTGAGCAATCGGAGCAGGCTGCTACTAGTGCTAGACGATGATTCGTAGTCAAGGTAAGTGTCTTGATGTCGCTAGGCAATAATAGGGGAGGGGGTGAGCAATCGGAGCAGGCTGCTACTAGTGCTAGACGATGATTCGTAGTCAAGGTAAGTGTCTTGATGTCGCTAGGCAATAATAGGGGAGGGGGTGAGCAATCGGAGCAGGCTGCTACTAGTGCTAGACGATGATTCGTAGTCAAGGTAAGTGTCTTGATGTCGCTAGGCAATAATAGGGGAGGGGGTGAGCAATCGGAGGAGGCTGCTACTAGTGCTAGACGATGATTCGTAGTCAAGGTCAGTGTCTTGATGTCGCTAGGCAATAGAAGGGGAGGGGGTGAGCAATCGGAGCAGGCTGCTACTAGTGCTAGACGATGATTCGTAGTCAAGGTAAGTGTCTTGATGTCGCTAGGCAATAATAGGGGAGGGGGTGAGCAATCGGAGCAGGCTGCTACTAGTGCTAGGCGATGATTCGTAGTCAAGGTGAGTGTCTTGAGGTTGCTAGGCAATACTAGGGGAGGGGGTGGGCAATCAGAGCAGGCTGCTACTAGTGCTAGACGATGATTCGTAGTCAAGGTGAGTGTCTTGATGTCGCTAGGCAATACTAGGGAAGGGGGTGGGCAATCGGAGGAGGCTGCTAATAGTGCTAGATGATGATATGTAGTCAAGGTAAGTGTCTTGATGTCGCTAGGCAATAATAGGGGAGGGGGTGAGCAAACGGAGGAGGCTGCTACTAGTGCCAGACGATGATTCGTAGTCAAAGTAAGTGTCTTGATGTCGCTAGGCAATAGAAGGTGAGGGGGTGAGCAATCGGAGCAGGCTGCTACTAGTGCTAGACGATGATTCGTAGTCAAGGTAAGTGTCTTGATGTCGCTAGGCAATAGAAGGTGAGGGGGTGAGCTATCGGAGGCGGCTGCTTATAGTGTTAGACGATGATTTGAGTCAAGGTAAGTGTCTTGATTTCGCTAGGGAATAGTAGGGGAGGGGGTGGGCAATCGGAGGAGGCTGCTTATAGTGCTAGACGATGATTCATAGTCAAGGTAAGTGTCTTGATGTCGCTAGGCAATAGTAGGGGAGGGGGTGAGCTATCGGAGGAGGCTGCTACTAGTGCTAGACGATGATTTTTGTCAAGGTAAGTGTCTTGATTTCGCTAGGCAATAGTAGGGGAGGGGGTGGGCAATCGGAGGAGGCTGCTTATAGTGCTAGACGATGATTCGTAGTCAAGGTAAGTGTCTTGATGTCGCTAGGCAATACTAGGGAAGGGGGTGAGCAATCAGAGCAGGCTGCTACTAGTGCTAGACGATGATTCATAGTCAAGGTGAGTGTCTTGAAGTCGCTAGGCAATAATAGGGGAGGGGTTGAGCAAACGGAGGAGGCTGCTACTATTGCTAGACGATGATTTGTAATCAAAGTGAGTGTCTTAATGTTGCTAGGCAATAATAGGGGAGGGGCTGTGCTTTTGTTACCTTAAGTACATTAACACCTTTGGTTTCAGGCATTTAATCACACAGCAGAGTATGATGCTGCCATTTCTGACTATTTCCGCCGTCAGTACAGTGCTGGAGTATCACAGCTATCTCTCCGATATGGAATGAACCCACATCAGAAACCTGCTCAGATATCAACTACCCTGCCCAACCTCCCCATTAAAGGTGAGTCAACAACCATCACTAGAAATATTAAATATGTTCAGATATCAACCACCCTGTCTAATGTCTCCGTCAAAGGTGAGTCAACAACCCACAACAAAAACCAGCTCAGATATCCACCACGATGTCTATTGTCTCCGTCAAAGGTGAGTCAACAACCCACAACAGAAACCTGCTCAGATATCAACCACCCTGTCTAATGTCTCCGTCAAAGGTGAGTCAACAACCCACAACAGAAACCAGCTCAGATATCAACCACCCTGTCTATTGTCTCCGTCAAAGGTGAGTCAACAACCCACAACAGAAACCTGCTCAGATATCAACCACCCTGTCTATTGTCTCCGTCAAAGGTGAGTCAACAACCCACAACAGAAACCAGCTCAGATATCAACCACCCTGTCTATTGTCTCCGTCAAAGGTGAGTCAACAACCCACAACAGAAACCAGCTCAGATATCAACCACCCTGTCTATTGTCTCCGTCAAAGGTGAGTCAACAACCCACAACAGAAACCAGCTCAGATATCAACCACCCTGTCTATTGTCTCCGTCAAAGGTGAGTCAACAACCCACAACAGAAACCAGCTCAGATATCAACCACCCTGTCTATTGTCTCCGTCAAAGGTGAGTCAACAACCCACAACAGAAACCAGCTCAGATATCAACCACCCTGTCTATTGTCTCCGTCAAAGGTGAGTCAACAACCCACAACAGAAACCAGCTCAGATATCAACCACCCTGTCTATTGTCTCCGTCAAAGGTGAGTCAACAACCCACAACAGAAACCTGCTCAGATATCAACCACCCTGTCTATTGTCTCCGTCAAAGGTGAGTCAACAACCCACAACAGAAACCAGCTCAGATATCAACCACCCTGTCTATTGTCTCCGTCAAAGGTGAGTCAACAACCCACAACAGAAACCTGCTCAGATATCAACCACCCTGTCTATTGTCTCCGTCAAAGGTGAGTCAACAACCCACAACAGAAACCAGCTCAGATATCAACCACCCTGTCTATTGTCTCCGTCAAAGGTGAGTCAACAACCCACAACAGAAACCTGTTCAGATATCAACCACTCAATCAAAGGTGAGTCAACAACCCACAACAGAAACCTGCTCAGATATCAACTACCCTGTCTAATGTCTCCGTCAAAGGTGAGTCAACAACCCACAACAGAAACTAGCTCAGATATCAACCACCCTGTCTAATGTCTCCGTCAAAGGTGAGTCAACAACCCACAACAGAAACTAGCTCAGATATCAACCACCCTGTCTAATGTCTCCGTCAAAGGTGAATCAACAACCCACAACAGAAACCTGCTCAGATATCAACCACTCCGTCAAAGGTGAGTCAACAACCCACAACAGAAACCGGCTCAGATATCAACCACCATGTCTATTGTCTCCGTCAAAGGTGAGTCAACAACCCACACCAGAAACCTGCTCAGATATCAACTACCCTGTCTAATGTCTCCGTCAAAGGTGAGTCAACAACCCACAACAGAAACCAGCTCAGATATCCACAACCCTGTCTATTGTCTCCGTCAAAGGTGAGTCAACAACCCACAGCAGAAACCAGCTCAGATATCCACCACCCTGTCTATTGTCTCCGTAAAAGGTGAGTCAACAACCCACAACAGAAACCTGCTCAGATATCAACTACCCTGTCTAATGTCTCCGTCAAAGGTGAGTCAACAACCCACAACAGAAACTAGCTCAGATATCAACCACCCTGTCTAATGTCTCCGTCAAAGGTGAGTCAACAACCCACAACAGAAACCAGCTCAGATATACACCACCCGGTCTATTGTCTCCGTCAAAGGAGAGTCAACAACCCACAACAGAAACCAGCTCAGATATACACCACCCGGTCTATTGTCTCCGTCAAAGGAGAGTCAACAACCCACAACAGAAACCAGCTCAGATATCCACCACCCGGTCTATTGTCTCCGTCAAAGGTGAGTCAACAACCCACAGCAGAACCAGCTCGGCTATCAACCACCCTGTCTATTGTCTCCGTCAAAGGTGAGTCAACAACCCACAACAGAAACCTGCTCAAAAATTATCAACCTCCCTGTCCAACTTCCGCGTTAATTTGTCAACAACCAATGTAAGAAACTTCTTCAAATGTTAACTACTTTGTCCAAAATGTGACATTGATGTGGTTCATTGTCAACATAGTACTTATTTATTATGCAATTCCAGGCTTTTTTTAAGAAACGGGTAAGCGGAGGTAAAATACAGATCAGATGTGGCACTCCCTCTCACCTCCCACTCACCTCCCTCTCACCTCCCTCTCACCTCCCACTCACCTCCCTCTCACCTCCCTCTCACCTCCCTCTCGCCTCCCACTCGCCTCCCACTCGCCTCCCTCTCACCTCCCTCTCGCCTCCCTCTCACCTCCCTCTCACCTCCCTCCCTCTCGCCTCCCTCTCACCTCCCTCTCACCTCTCACCTCCCTCTCAATATGGGTTTTAGTACAAATAAACTGACATTTATCTCGTTCTTGTAGTTCTAAATGGCTCACCTGGATTCATCAACTTATTGGACGCTCTCAATGGTTGGCAACTGGTGCGAGAAATCAGTCAAGCATGCAACAAGCCTGCTGCAACCTCCTTCAAGCATGTCAGTCCTGCAGGTAATTAGGGTATCAGTAACAGTACAAGTTCAGGTTCAGTAATATGTATTTTGTATCGATCCCTCTTGGTAATTTGTAGTCATTGACTTGCTGGCACAAAGTGAGCACTGCAATAAGAATGCAGAAAGCAGTGGCCTGGACCGGCCTCTTCAAGCCAAATAAATAGTTCCCAAGTAGTTTGCTAAAATGTGCCAAGAAGTTTGTAAAAATAGAAGCTACATAAATCAGAGTTTAGCCAGTCTTCAGTTCCCTTGGCCTCTTATCTAATATCTATGTAGAGTCTATAGCGTTGTTCTTACATGACTTGTGCTACTGTTGTCAGGTGCCGCCATTGGAGGGCAGGGTATGAGTGAGGCTGACCGCAAGGTGTGCATGGTAGATGATTTAGAGGAGTTGTCTCCCTTGGCTGAGGCGTATGCCAGAGCTAGAGGTAGGTATAGTTGCAAATTTTTCGTTGACCCCTAAAGCAATATCTGGTTCAACCGGTCAACCTAAAAGAAAATGACAGGCGCAGATCTGAATGAGGTTAACCAAAGGAATATTAGGCACATGTAGATTGAGGGGTCCGGACGTACCTGTCAGATAGAAACTAAAATGCTGACTATTGCTATTTTGCGTTATTTCTAAATGAACAAGGTGCTAATTCTTTGCTGTGTTATGAACAGTGTTCTGTTAGGCTTTTATGTTAATCTGTTGCAGCAGTGACTGTACAATTTTACACATGGTTCGTTGTCGGTTTATCCTGGAAATGTGTTGGAATTTATTCAGATTAATATTCCATGAAAAGTGATGAATTATATTCCAGAGATAAATTTAACATGAATTTCTGTCTTAGAAGGACTTTTTAAAAGATTCTTGATGAAAGACTTGTTTCAAATTTTCATTTTATATTAGTGGATTGATCATTAAAGAATTATTGTTTTCAATTGTGATCCATTTTGATTTGTTTAAATTTCCTGCTATGTTAATTATGGTATCAATACACTAAAAACAGAAAATCTCCACCTGATTCTTTTATAAAATGGGCCTGAAAAATTGTAGGAACTTGCTTTAAAAATGGGAATACATTTTTGAATTTTACTGAAAACCAGGAAATTTTGGCCCAGTAAAACTTTCACCTTCACCCATGAAATCATTTTTTGCCCAGTGTTAATTTCGCCCTGCACATTTAATTATTACGTTTATTGTGCTGTTTACTTATATTTTCTGGAATGATAAACTGCCCTCGTTAAGGATGGCAATAAGACGCAAATTAAACTGCAGTGAAGATTTCCCAGTATACAGTATTATAAACAGTTACGTGAACCACGTTACACGAGTGAGTAATGCTCTGAATGCTCTGATACACAGGAGCAGACAGGATGTCATCTTTTGGAGACTTCATTTCCTTGTCGGACACATGTGATGTTTCCACAGCAAAGATCATCTCGCGAGAGGTAAAGACAATTTCCCATGTAACAGCCTTCCTAGTGTCCCTATATCCAACGGATATGATAATGAGGCCAAGACACATTGATTTAAATTTGTCTTTATGTCACCTCGGTGCCTAAAGCTATTAAGATATATGACCATGCAGTTGTTCGGAACTTTCTGTAACTTATGACTTTTCCTTAACTCCAATAAAGATTCCTATGGTTAATGTAAGCGTAAGTTATACAGAGATGAACATTTTTAGCCTTTTGGCTTTCTATACTCATATCTAAATTTTTGACAATTCATTATGGGAAGTGTCCGTCCATACTTTCGTTCAAACAGGACAACATTCTTAAAAGTTGTTCAATTTTTATGTACCGTATATATACAAAGACTGAGGCTAAGTACGAAGTTGAGCACAATTATCTGCATACTCCGATTGGTCAATTTCCACACTGAAGTTTTCGCAAGATAACTAGCTTAAATGTCATTTGATTTTTTACGAAACTTGCATTGGTATATATGCATGTAAAATTTACAAAACTGAGGCTTAAATATGTCGTTTGAAGTAGAGCAAAATCTACACATTGATTATTAATTAGGATGCTGTGCTCTGATTGGTTGACAGTTTCCACACAATAACTTAGTCAACTATGAATCGATTCTGATGAAACTTTGTCAATATCTATATTATGCAAAGACAAAACTTACCATCAAGGTTGAACAAAATAATTACATAATTAATACACATAATTAATATGCATATTGCACTGATTGGTTGCGAGTTTCCACACCACAGCTTCGTCAAATATGACAGGATTCTGATGTGACTTAGCCTGTATTTACACTCACTGATAGTCTAATAGTGAAATCAGCAAGTAGTTAAAATGCAATCAGGAATGAGTTTGGTTTTAATGGTGCAAGATTAATGGGTTAATGGCATTGGCAAAGAGGAGCAATAACAGCTTTCATTTTCATGGTTTGAAATGTGGACAGAAGGAAGCAATTCCTATGGTAATCAATCTTGTTGAAAGATTGTAAAGGATAATATTAGAATTGACCCTGGGGTCTGGCACCCTCAGGGACTTAGTCCTTGGGTAATAACATGGAAATTTGAGAATCTGGTTATGAAACTTTTGCCTCTTTCTATAGTTAAAATATGACCATGCAGGACGTGCGAGGTAAGTACACAATTATAAGTATGTCTTTATATCAGTCCCACTTTGGACCGGTCATAGCTAAAGTCACCCTGCTGTGGTATTACCTGGGACCGGTCATAGCTAAAGTCACCCTGCTGTGGTATTACCTGGGACCGGTCATAGCTAAAGTCACCCTGCTGTGGTATTACCTGGGACCGGTCATAGCTAAAGTCACCCTGCTGTGGTATTACCTGGGACCGGTCATAGCTAAAGTCACCCTGCTGTGGTATTACCTGGGACCGGTCATAGCTAAAGTCACCCTGCTGTGGTATTACCTGGGACCGGTCATAGCTAAAGTCACCCTGCTGTGGTATTACCTGGGACCGGTCATAGCTAAAGTCACCCTGCTGTGGTATTACCTGGGACCGGTCATAGCTAAAGTCACCCTGCTGTGGTATTACCTGGGACCGGTCATAGCTAAAGTCACCCTGCTGTGGTATTACCTGGGACCGGTCATAGCTAAAGTCACCCTGCTGTGGTATTACCTGGGACCGGTCATAGCTAAAGTCACCCTGCTGTGGTATTACCTGGGACCGGTCATAGCTAAAGTCACCCTGCTGTGGTATTACCTGGGACCGGTCATAGCTAAAGTCACCCTGCTGTGGTATTACCTGGGACCGGTCATAGCTAAAGTCACCCTGCTGTGGTATTACCTGGGACCGGTCATAGCTAAAGTCACCCTGCTGTGGTATTACCTGGGACCGGTCATAGCTAAAGTCACCCTGCTGTGGTATTACCTGGGACCGGTCATAGCTAAAGTCACCCTGCTGTGGTATTACCTGGGACCGGTCATAGCTAAAGTCACCCTGCTGTGGTATTACCTGGGACCGGTCATAGCTAAAGTCACCCTGCTGTGGTATTACCTGGGACCGGTCATAGCTAAAGTCACCCTGCTGTGGTATTACCTGGGACCGGTCATAGCTAAAGTCACCCTGCTGTGGTATTACCTGGGACCGGTCATAGCTAAAGTCACCCTGCTGTGGTATTACCTGGGACCGGTCATAGCTAAAGTCACCCTGCTGTGGTATTACCTGGGACCGGTCATAGCTAAAGTCACCCTGCTGTGGTATTACCTGGGACCGGTCATAGCTAAAGTCACCCTGCTGTGGTATTACCTGGGACCGGTCATAGCTAAAGTCACCCTGCTGTGGTATTACCTGGGACCGGTCATAGCTAAAGTCACCCTGCTGTGGTATTACCTGGGACCGGTGATAGCTAAAGTCACCCTGCTGTGGTGTTACCTGGGACCGGTCATAGCTAAAGTCACCCTGCTGTGGTATTACCTGGGACCGGTGATAGCTAAAGTCACCCTGCTGTGGTATTACCTGGGACCGGTGATAGCTAAAGTCACCCTGCTGTGGTATTACCTGGGACCGGTGATAGCTAAAGTCACCCTGCTGTGGTATTACCTGGGACCGGTGATAGCTAAAGTCACCCTGCTGTGGTATTACCTGGGACCGGTGATAGCTAAAGTCACCCTGCTGTGGTGTTACCTGGGACCGGTCATAGCTAAAGTCACCCTGCTGTGGTATTACCTGGGACCGGTGATAGCTAAAGTCACCCTGCTGTGGTATTACCTGGGAATACTGGTTTCATAGGAAAACACAAACTATTGAATGTGTTATGTATTATAGGTATCTGACGGCATCATTGCACCGGGCTATGACAATGAAGCTTTGGAAATCCTTCAGAAGAAGAAAGGGGGAAACTATTGTGTTCTACAGGTGAGTGGTTACTTTGTAATGTATACAGACTGCAATGGGTTTTCAATTTTTGTATAATACGTACGACACTGAACAGTCCATAACAATCCGTCATGTCACCATGATTTTCACTGGGTTTTTTAATTTTGTAAAACAAATTCTTCAGATTGTGAATATTAAGGTGAAATTTAACAACAGATTTGAAAATTCAAATCCCTGGCCAGCACCTGTAGTCAGCTGCATACATAGTCTGGATAAGCAGCCCACTATAGCCCGAAAAGCTAGTGATTATCAATGGAAATGTAAGCTCTCTTGTAATTTTTTATCAAACTTAGTACTTAATAAACAAAAATGAACACTCTTGATAAATGTTTTGTAAATGGAGTAGTTTGGATAACTAGGGATTATCAATGTAGATTAGGACTATATTACTATTTTGCATGAATTGAATCATTTTCAAGGCCCAGACATTTTATGGGTTTATTTAAGAAATCAAAATATAATGGGGTCTTTAAAAGGGGAGGTGTGTGTGTGTGTGTGTGCATGTCTGCATGTCTGCAAAATGTCTGCATGTCTGCAAAATGTCTGCAAACACTTTTTAGGTCACCTGAGACAAAGTCTCAAGTGACCTTTTGCGATTGCCTTTTGTCCAGCGGCGTCCATCGTCCGTCCGTAAACAATTTACAATTTTCAATGAAATTTTGCAGAAACCTTCCATGGCCAAAGGTCAACAAAAAGGGGGCCTGATTTGGTCCCCAGCCCCCAGGGGCTTGAGGGGTGGGGCTAAAATGGGTCAAATTGACTAAAGGTGCTCTACCAGAATTTCATGACCCTGGGGTCTCACGTTTCCCCCTGGGGAGGGGGTAAACTTTACTATAGTTTATATAGGGAAATCACATTTTTGACCAACATTTGTTACATTTGGGTTAGCGTTATTAGTATTGGATAGCAGTTTGATGGTATGCACATATGAGCCCTGACTGATCCCCCAGGGCTGATGGGTGGGGCCAAAAAGGGTTGAATTGACTGAAATTTCAAAAATCTTCTCTCAAAGACCCAGATATGGTAGAATCAAACACTCTTCATAGATGGAAGGGTCTTAAGAATTATGACCCTAGGGTCTCACATTTACCCCCTGGGGAAGGGGGGGGGCAACATTTATTATGGTTTATAATGGCAAATGATACTTTGAATATAACATGTTATTGACTTGATTGGAATTTTAACCCTGAGTTGACAGTTTGAAACTTTGAAAATTTTGAGCCAGCCCTCCCCCAAGGGCTGTAGGGTGGGGCCCAAAGGAGTCAGTGTACTAAAATTTCTTCATTTTCCTTGTTTAGAATCAGAGGTACTAGTTTCAAATACTTTTCAGTCTTAAATCTGTATGCTAGATATTGAATAAGGTGGTTTTATTGTATTTTAGCTCACCTGGTCCGAAGGACCATGGTGAGTTTATGCCATACTGTAGCGTCCGTCCGTCAACTTTTCCTTTAAAACGCTACTAGTCATGTACAACTGAGCAGATTTTGACCAAATTTGGTCAGAAGCATCCTTGGGGGAAGGGAAACAAATTTTGTATAAACCGTGGGTCTGGCCCCCATTGGGCCTGAGGGGCGGGGCCCAATAGGGGAAATATTGCAAATTCTTTAACATCCTTCTTCTTCTGTAGGAATGAAAGGATTTGGTCCATATTTGGTGTGGAGCATCCTTGGTAAAGGGGAACCAATTTTGTATAATCCGTGGGTCTTGCCCCCCAGGGGCCTGAGAGGCGGGGCTCAATAGGGGAAACATAGCAGATTATTCTATAAAAAAACTTCTGTAGGAATTGGTCCATATTTGGTGTGGAGCATCCTTGGGTAAAGGGGAACCAATTTTGTAAAAACAGGGGGCATGGCCCCCCTGGGGGCTGAGGGGCGGGGCCCAATAGGGGAAATATAGCAAATTCTTTAAAATCCTTCTCCTTTTGTAGGAATGACGGGATTTTGTCCATATTTGGTCTAAAGCATCCTTAGGTAAAGGGGAACCAATTTTGTATAAACCGTGGGTCTTGCCCCCCAGGGGCCTGAGAGGCGGGGCCCAATAGGGGAAACATAGCAGATTATTCTATAAAAAAACTTCTGTAGGAATTGGTCCATATTTGGTGTGGAGCATCCTTGGTAAAGGGGAACCAATTTTGTATAAACGGCGGGTGTGTGGCCCCTCTGACCTGAGGGGCGGGGCCAAATAGGGGAAATATAGGTAAAACCTTTATAATCCCACTTCTACCATAGGTATTGAGGGATATTTTCCTAATTTAGTCTGGAACATCCTTAGGCAAAAGGGACTCAATTTTGTATAAACAGCGAGTGTGGCCCCCCTGTGGGTAGAAGGAAGGGGCCCAATAGGGGAAACATAGCAAATTCTTCAAAATCCTTCTTCTTCTGTAGGAATGACAGGATTTTGTCAAAATTTGTTATGAAGCAGCCTTGGGTGAAGGGGAAACAATTTTGTATAAGCAGTGAGTGTGGTCTCCCAGGGGGCAGAAGGGCGGGGCTCAATTGGAGAAATAGAGGTAAAACCTTTAAAACCCTACTTCGACCATCGGGATTATGGGATTTTATCCTTATTTATTCTGGAGCATCAATGGACCAAGGGGACTCAATTTTGTATAATTGGAACAGTAGCATCCTATTGGGAAGCTAGGTAAGCTGATTTTGTATTAATAGTGGGTCTGAAGGGTGGGGCCCAATTCATAGGGGTAATTTAGCAAATTCTTTAAAAATCTTCTTCTGTAGGAGGATTATGGCCATATTTGGTCTAAAGCATCCTTGGGTGAAGGGGAACTAATTTTGTATCAATGGTGGGTCTGACCCCCCCTGGAGGCAGAGGGGCCAGGCCTAATAGTGAAAACATAGCAAACTCTTCAAATTCACTTTTTTTCTGTAGGAACGACAGGTTTTTGTCCAATTGCATATAAATATAACCCCTGACAAACCATGTAATACATGTACAGCAACATCTGACTATTTCAACTTCAATTTTGCTAACATTTCCCGGTGAGCGATACAGGCCCTCTGGGCCTCTTGTTAAGGCAGTAAAAGAGGAATTTAGGTGTATTGCTGATGACCACTTCTTAAAACCAATCCAGGGTTGTACCTCAGACATTGTATTTATCATAAACCACATGCATTGGTAATAAGCATGAAAAATAAGATACATCCTTGCTACCAGGATTTAGCTCTAAGTCCCCAATCATATCTTGGCTATGGCCAAGATTTTGACCCTGAATCAGGATAACTGACAATTTCAGGTTGACCCAACCTATGATCCTCCAGCCACCGAGACACGGACAGTGTTTGGACTACAGATGCAGCAGAAACCTAATGATGCTGTCATCAATCCAGAAATGATGACCAATGTTGTCACCAAGAAAACAGAGGTCTGTTGAATTATCTATCAACCGTGATGTTCTTATGCTTTATAAGCCCCGATCTGGTAATGTGTAAAATTGTTAACCATGCTTCTTCATGCGTCTAGTGAAAATATTTTCATATATATATGAAAATTTATTCGTATTTAGATGAACCATTACCATATTAATAGGGCAGATAGTTTAACTCATACATCTACATTCTTCTGTGTCGCACTGTAACATCTCTCTAGCCTCTTTAATTTATTTATCAAATTTAAATGAACTTCATACAGATATCAAGTACCAAAGTAGCATGAAGAAAAGTTCTTTCCACATTTTGCACCCAATAACCTTTGTCCAGTAGCTTTATCTTCACAACAACAGCCATCATTTGTGGTCGTTTGATGGAGTCAACAATTCAACATTTTCCACTCAAGGATGAATTATCATTACTGTGAATAGAAAAAAATCTTTACATTGAATTACCTGATGTAGTGACACCTATTCTTACTTCATTGTATAAAATCTTTACATTGAAATACCTGATGTAGTGACACCTATTCTTACTTCATTGTATACAATCTTTACATTGAATGACCTGATGTAATGACACCTATTCTTACTTCATTGTATAAAATCTTTACATTGAATTACCTGATGTAGTGACACCTATCCTTACTTCATTGTATACAATCTTTACATTGAATGACCTGATGTAATGACACCTATTCTTACTTCATTGTATAAAATCTTTACATTGAATTACCTGATGTAATGACACCTATCCTTACTTCATTGTATAAAATATTTACATTGAATTACCTGATGTAATGACACCTATCCTTACTTCATTGTATGAAATCTTTACATTGAATTACCTGATGTAATGCTGCACTGAAGACAAATGGTTTGATGTTAAAATGGTGATGATTAAGACTTTTGTAGAATCAAGGAATAGGTGCCTTAGGTGGTACCACTCCAGAATCAGGGAATAGGTGACTTAGGTGGTACCACTCCAGAAACAGGGAATAGGTGACTTAGGTGGTACCACTCCAGAATCAGGATATAGGTGACTTAGGTGTTACCACTCCAGAATCAGGGAGTAGGTGACTTAGGTGGTACCACTCCAGAATCAGGGGGTTTTCTGCCTCATTTCCTGCTAAATGAACATTGAAGAAACTGGTGCCCTCAATGTTTCACTTTGGATCTATTGATCTTTTCCTTGCTTATTCTCTACCGGTCCTTTTAGTGGTGTCTCCCTGTAGGACTTGTAGGACTCATCTCTACCGGTCCTTTTAGTGGTCACTGTCTCCCTGTAGGACTTGTAGGACTTATTCTCTACCAGTCCTTTTGGTGGTCACTGTCTCCCTGTAGGACTTGTCTTCATACGATCTTGGCTGTTGCAAGGACTGTAAGCCCCAAACTAACAAATTGAAGATTGATGATGTTCAAAGATAAAAGTTTTTTTGGGGAATATTCATTTCCATTCTTGGAAACACTGATAATGAATGTGTGACTCGTAAGCAATGATAACATAATGATCCCAATGAGACTTGCTCAAAAAGAAATTTCTAGACTCATTCATAAATTTCCTGAAATAGAATATCTTGTTGAGAAAGTGAACGACATCAATATCATTGATATTACAGCTAGGACAAGATGTATTAGAGGACCTGATTGTGGCCAGTATTACCCTTAAATACACACAGTCTAACTCTGTGTGCTATGCCAAAGGCGGTCAGGTGATCGGGATAGGGGCAGGACAACAGTCACGTATCCACTGTACACGCCTGGCCGGGGACAAGGCCAACAACTGGTACGTTTCCAGTTGAACTCTTACCAATACCTAAGATTTTTTTAAATCAGAATTATTGAAATTACTGTTTGGCATTGAATTTCATTCCATGCCAATTACCTTTAAGTGCAGTAAATAGGATAAGAAATAGCAACTTCTAAAACTAAAGAAAACTTTTAAATAGGAAAGTTACTACAATAGCTTTGAAGTAAACTTTTTGAAAGAAAAGAACAAAAACAGTACTTGAAATAAATAAAAAATATGTTACTGTTTTTATGAACCCTACTTACATTTTAAATTTGTATATTTTACTAAATACTGTACTGTACTAAATACTGGTGATAATTAGTATTTATCACAGGATACACAGAGCTCTACATGTTTCACTATATTCTTGATGGTCTGAAAAAGAGTGGGAATTGAAAACAATACAATGATCTCTTTGTCTTTGTTAAGGGAATAAGTTAAAGATGTTGAATAACATTAAACTTTGAGGCTTTAGAGTTAAAGGATTGAATAACATTAAACTTTGAGGCTTTAGAGTTAAAGGGTTGAATAACATTAAACTTTGAGGCTTTAGAGTTAAAGGATTGCATGCAAAACTGATATGTTTATCTTCTGAGAATAACCATTTACTGATTTAGATAGAACAATGTTTTCTGGTAGAATATTTTTTGATACCATTTCTTTGTTTTATGTATTTACTTAAGTAATGAATATATTACAATTTATTAGCAAATGTTGTTATGGTCCTATATCACATATTGCTATTGATTAACAAACTTAATAAAGTCAAACAGGATTGTAAGTTTATCAGCAATAGCAAATATGTGTTATAGGACCATAACAACATTTGCTAAAATAAGTTCATTATTTATATTTACATTTTGATAGAGTAGTTACGCTTTATTTAGTTATTTCGAACAGTTCTTTGAACAGCAAATTAAGTCTTGACAACAATGAAATTGATGACATCACAAAGGAGATATATGACATTTCAATAGCAACTGTTGTTATAGTCTCACAACAACATTATAGCCTTCTCAATACATTACAATGAAGGATGCCGAGCTAATGTAAATACATGTCCTGTAAATCGGTGACTTACAACTATGTCATTATTAGGTGGCTGAGGCAACACCCCAAAGTCATGGAAATGAAATTCAAGAAAGGTGTGAAGAGAGCAGAGAGAAACAATGGTATCGACCAGTTTGTGCTCGGGACAGTAGGATCGGTGAGTACTGGTCATTTGGCTCGGGACATTTAGGTCGGTGAGTACTGGTCATTTGGCTCGGGACATTTAGGTCGGTGAGTACTGGTCATTTGGCTCGGGGCAGTAGGATCGGTGGGTACTGGTCATTTGGCTCGGGGCAGTAGGATCGGTGAGGACTGGTCATTTGGCTCGGGACAGTAGGATCGGTGAGTACTGGTCATTTGGCGTTAGATATTTAAGCGCATTAAAAATGTCCGCTTAATTCGTAGGTTGATGACTTTCACAAATCACATAATCAGCATAAGTGGTGGAGGAAAACGAAGTTACAAGAGCATATAAATATATTTATAAAATGTTGCAATTTAATAAAATATCATCAGAATATTTTCTTTAAATTATGTAGTGTTTAAAGTACAAACATGATGAATGAAATAATTGTTTAATTTAGAATTCTAACAACATTACTCCCAACCTACATGGTAACTAGAGTTGACTGATTACAGGACATGGAGTTGGAGACGTGGAAGAACTTGTTTGAGGATAAACCACCTACTTTTCTGTCACAGGTAAACACAACAGTTCACCTTTTTCTGTTGAAGAAAAACAAGTTTATTTTCTCATGCAGGTAAATAGAAGTTATTCTATGTTTATCTCTAGGTTAAACTCATGACATGCTTACTTGCCTTTCTCACAGGTAAATAACAGTTAACCTAACTTGCCATCTTATATAAGTAGAAGTTTACCTAGTACCTTTCTGTCTGGAAGTATACCTGATTTCTCCCACAAATACTTTTAATTGGGTAAATACACAAGTTGACCTACCTGTCTTCCACAGAAAATTGAATATCTAGCAGAAGGGACGTTTCATGTATACATTTTAGTTATTGTGTCAATACTGCATGTTCCTCCAAATTTTCTTTCTGAAAGTGAGCGTCAAATACCTTTAAGAATTTAATATGAAAAATTAGCAATTTATTATTAAAAATATATATTTTAGCCCCCCCCTTCCCAAGTTCTTGGCTGTTGAGAAGAGGGCATTATAAACATTTTCCTCATACCTTTTACTTTGTCACTTTTAAGGAGGAAAGGAAGGAATGGATTTCCCAGTTGAGGGGGGTTTCCCTCAGCTCAGATGCATTCTTCCCCTTCAGAGACAACATTGACCGGGCAGCACAGGTAAGTAATGACCCTTGTTCCACCAATTTTGACAGAAATAATGGCCTCGATCAAATCATTACTTTCTGCTGTACTAGATATAGATCAGTCGAAAAAAAAGGGATCTGCTAACAGGTAACTCTGACTGTACATGTTGTCACATTCTGTCACTCTGTACTGTAGTATAGCATCTTCGTACTGTAGTACTGTCTGTTTTGTTCTGCTGTGTGACTTTATACTGTTATGTTATTTGACATTGTAAATGTCTGCTGTGTGACTTTATACTGTTATGTTATTCGACATTGTACAGGTCTGCTGTGTGACTTTATACTGTTATGTTATTTGACGTTGTAAATGTCTGCTGTGTCACTTTATACTGTTATGTTATTTGACATTATACGGGCTTGCTGTGTGACTTTATACTGTTATGTAATTTGACATTGTACGGGTCTGCTGTGTGACTTTATACTGTTATGGTATTTGACATTGTACAGGTCTGCTGTGTGACTTTATACCGTTATGTTATTTGACGTTGTAAATGTCTGCTGTGTCACTTTATACTGTTATGTTATTTGACATTGTAAATGTCTGCTGTGTGACTTTATACTGTTATGTTATTTGAGATTGTATGGGTCTGCTGTGTGACTTTATACTGTTATGTAATTTGACATTGTACGGGTCTGCTGTGTGACTTTATAGTGTTATGTTATTTGACATTGTATGGGTCTGCTGTGTGACTTTATACTGTTATGTTATTTGAGATTGTATGGGTCTGCTGTGTGACTTTATACTGTTATGTTATTTGACGTTGTAAATGTCTGCTGTGTCACTTTATACTGTTATGTTATTTGACATTGTAAATGTCTGCTGTGTGACTTTATACTGTTATGTTATTTGACATTGTACAGGTCTGCTGTGTGACTTTATACTGTTATGTTATTTGACGTTGTAAATGTCTGCTGTGTCACTTTATACTGTTATGTTATTTGACATTGTACATGTCTGCTGTGTGACTTTATACTGTTATGTTATTTGACATTGTACAGGTCTGCTGTGTGACTTTATACTGTTATGTTATTTGACATTATACGGGTTTGCTGTGTGACTTTATACTGTTATGTAATTTGACATTGTACGGGTCTGCTGTGTGACTTTATACTGTTATGTAATTTGACATTGTACGGGTCTGCTGTGTTACTTTATACTGTTATGTTATTTGACATTGTACAGGTCTGCTGTTTGACTTGATACTGTTATGTTGTTTGACATTGTACATGTCTGCTGTGTAGCTTTATACTGTTATGCAGTTGACATTGTACGGGTCTGCTGTGTGACTTTATACTGTTATGTTATTTGACATTGTATGGGTCTGCTGTGTGACTTTATACTGTTATTTGATATTGTACGGGTCTGCTGTGTGACTTTATACTGATATTTGACATTGTACATGTCTGCTGTGTGACTTTATACTGTTATTTGACATTGTACTGGTCTGCTGTGTGACTTTATACTGATATGTTATTTGACATTGTAAGGGTCTGCTGTGTGACTTTATACTGTTATTTGACATTGTACGGGTCTGCTGTAAAGCTTTATACTGTTATGTTATTTGACATTGTAAGGGTCCGCTGTGTGACATTATACTGTTATTTGACATTGTAAGGGTCTGTTGTGTGACTTTATACTGTTATGTTATTTGACATTGTACGGGTCTGCTGTAAAGCTTTATACTGGTATGTTATTTGACATTGTAAGGGTCTGCTGTGTGACATTGTACTGTTATTTGACATTGTAAGGGTCTGCTGTGTGACTTTATACTGTTATTTGACATTGTAAGGGTCTGCTGTGTGACATTGTACTGTTATTTGACATTGTAAGGGTCTGCTGTGTGACTTTATACTGTTATGTTATTTGACATTGTATGGGTCTGCTGTGTGACATTATACTGTTATTTGACATTGTACGGGTCTGCTGTGTGACATTATACTGTTATGTTATTTGACATTGTACGGGTCTGCTGTAAAGCTTTATACTGTTTTGTTATTTGACATTGTATGGGTCTGCTGTGTAACTTTATACTGTTATTTGGCATTGTAAGGGTCTGCTGTGTGACTTTATGCTGTTATGTTATTTGACATTGTACGGGTCTGCTGTAAAGCTTTATACTGTTTTGTTATTTGACATTGTACGGGTCTGCTGTGTTACTTTATACTGTTATTTGACATTGTACGGTTTGGCAGTGTGACTTTAGACTGTTATTTTACATTGTAAGGGTCTGCTGTGTGACGTTATACTGTTATGTTATTTGACATTGTTTGGGTCTGCTGTGTGACTTTATACTGATATTTGACATTGTACATGTCTGCTGTGTAGCTTTATACTGTTATTTGACATTGTAAAGGTCTGCTGTGTGACTTTATACTGTCATTTGACATTGTAAGGGTCTGCTGTTTGACTTTATACTGTTATTTTACATTGTAAGGGCCTTACGGGTCTGCTGTGTGACTTTATACTGTCATTTGACATTGTAAGGGTCTGCTGTGCGACTTTATACTGTTATTTTACATTGTAAGGGCCTTACGGGTCTGCTGTGTGACTTTATACTGTCATTTGACATTGTAAGGGTCTGCTGTTTGACTTTATACTGTTATTTTACATTGTAAGGGCCTTACGGGTCTGCTGTGTGACTTTATACTGATATTTGACATTGTACATGTCTGCTGTGTAGCTTTATACTGTTATTTGACATTGTAAAGGTCTGCTGTGTGACTTTATACTGTTATATGACATTGTAAGGGTCTGCTGTATGCCTTTATACTGTTATTTTACATTGTAAGGGTCTGCTGTGTGACTTTATACTGTTCTGTTATTTGACATTGTATGGGTCTGTTGTGTGACTTTATACTGTTATGTTATTTGACATTATACAGGGCTGCTGTGTGACTTTATACTGTTATTTGTCATTGTAAGGGTCTGCTGTGGGACTTTATACTGTTATTTTACATTGTAAGGGTCTGCTGTGTGACTTTATATTGTTATTTGACATTGTAAGGGTCTGCCGTGTGATTTTATACTGTTATTTTACATTGTAAGGGCCTTACGGGTCTGCTGTGTGACTTTATACTGTTCTGTTATTTGACATTGTATGGGTCTGCTGTGTCACTTTATACTGTTATGTTATCTGACATTGTACATGTCTGATGTGTGACTTTATACTGTTATGTTATCTGACATTGTACATGTCTGATGTGTGACTTTATACTGTTATGTTATTTGACATTATACAGGTCTGCTGTGTGACTTTATACTGTTATTTGACATTGTAAGGGTCTGCTGTGTAGCTCTATGTAAAGTTATGTTTAGTCAAATATTAATTAACTGATGCATATTTATTGCAGAGTGGTGTGGAGTACATTGTATCCCCAGCAGGATCCACAAATGACGGGGGTGTTATCGAGGCATGTAACAAACACAAAATGGTCATGGTTCATACCAACACGCGGCTCTTCCATCATTAGGGGCACATCCCTTCATACAGCATAGATGTCAAAACAAGACTGTTCCTCATAACAATGACACCTGCGACCAACTCGCAAAAAAGACATTTCAGTCATATAAAGGCAATGCTGACCAAAGCATATATATTGCGTGCTGTCTAATCATTCCACATTGTCAACGATCAGAATACATTTGTTCCATGTCAAATAATGTCTCAAAACTTGCCAGATCTCAAATGACAACATTGTTATATTAACTTGACAAATAAATCGTTTTTGGAAAAGAAATGTTTGTCTTAATAAGCTGATCCTAATAATTCACAATGAACTTCTACCAGCACTTAGCACACAAATGAGTTCAGACAATGAAAACATTTCCAAATGAAGAATTTTGACAGTAATTATAGATTATAATGCAGAGTATATAAGGAAAAGGAATGTGGACAAAATATAGAGAAATTGAAATAGATAAATTCTGGAACAATATTCAGCAAAGTGAACACTTAATAATGTGGAAAAATGAACATAATGCTGAAAGAGAAAATATACAGGAAATGCATCTTTGCTAACATCTTGTATTTAAATCATTGATGGGAGATTTGCCCAAGTGTGATTTCTTGCCTTCAGTTAAAATGTGTAGCATTTATGTAGGGGAATAGGACATTTAAAATTATTTTTGACCTAAAGCTCAGAGCTAACAATTAAACATTCACCAGGAACTTGATGTAGGGAACTAATCAATCATCCTAGTGTAATGTAGGCATATCTCAATCCTCAAGGTAAGTGTGTCATTGTTAAAAAGTATGTAAGGAAATATAGAAAACGTTAAAGTTAAAAGTGTGATAGAAAGATATCAAGTCACCCTGGTGTTGTTTATAAAGAGCAGTCTTAACCTTCAACATTCTATTGTCAAGAATTAGTCTTGCTCGAACTTGCTATTCTTGTTTTGAGTAATTGGTAATCATTGAAATATCTCCGTACAAATGAAGGAGTTCAACCCTAATATGATTTAGAGCATCCCTAGGCAAAGAGGATTCGTACTGGCATAAACAGGCCCATAGACAATGATTTAGAGCATCCCTAGGCAAAGAGGACTTGTACTGGCATAAACAGGCCCATAGACAATGATGCTGCCAGGATAAGCTCTGGGTCCAGCAACACCCCTGGGTCATATCATGAAAGCAAGTGAGATCCCCACCCATTTATTGCTACATATAAGGATACAAAATACCCACGATACGACAGCCCATATTCAGGAAACTGTTCTCATGCTTGAACATGGATTTTGTGTTGAAACCTGTATTCTTGTTACTCGCTTAAATCATGTCAAATGTAAACGCTGAAAACAGAATTTGGCGCCAAGTCTCTTCAAATGTCTTCCAAATTCTTGTCAAAATTAGATTTTTTATTCATTTATATCAGAACAAGACTGGAGCACAAAATCCATGCTTGAGCATGAGAATGGTTTCATGAATAATTAAATATGGGCCCAGGATTGGCCTGGAGTTCAACCCCCTCTCTCTAGCATCTTGCCATACCCCTTGGTTCTTACTCCCCGAGTCATAAAATAAAATAAAATATGCAACATTGGATAAAGCACCCTATCTAGAATATGCCACTCTAAAGCGCTTTACAGTACATAGATATACAATTAGCATTTTCGCAATTTTTGAGGAATTCGAAGGAGCTGTCTTGTCACCTGGGTAATATCTCCCTATGTGTGTATGCCTGCGTTTGTGCTGGTGATGTAATGTGTTCTGTGTGTAGTGGGACCGTGCTTCCAACGGCATAATTTATAGTGCCACCTCACTTGAATGATACAGCACAGATACCACAGCATCCACCCCACACCATTATATATCCACCTTGGTTGTGTGGGCAGGAGAAAAACACTTTCTTTGAATATTCCATGCGTACGGCGACTTCAGGGATCCAATCCCGGCCACCGGCGTGGAAGGTCGGAGTGTTAACCATTCGACCACTCCGCCCATGTATATGATAACAATACTTCGAGGTTCTTATGTATCGCTTTTACACAAGCTAGTTCGTAGGTCGTCTCCAAGCAGTTTATAAATTAATACATTTTATTCGTGGTTATAGGGCCTTTGCAAACAGACAATATCTTTCTCAACTCCCTGGGGAGCATACAGCCTGGAGCTGCCTTTTCAGCGCTCGCAGCTACAATTCAACAATTCCAGCAATGCCCAACCACGTGCTCATTTACAGCTGAGTAGACTGGAACAAGCGGGGGTTGTTTAAAGATACAACACGGTGCCATGACATGACCCGAACCCGCAACCCTTCAGATACGAGCCCGGTGTCCTAAGATTGGTGGTTTGTGAGCCAGACTGTCTTGTTGTAGGTAAATGTCATTGAGATTGGTGGTTTGTGAGCCAGAATGTCTTGTTGTAGGTAAATGTCATTGATATAGGTAGTTAGTTAGCCAGAATGTCTTGCTGAAGGTAAATGTCATTGAGATTGGTAGTTTGTGAGCCAGACTGTCTTGTTGTAGGTAAATGTCATTGAGATTGGTGGTTTGTGAGCCAGACTGTCTTGTTGTAGGTAAATGTCATTGAGATAGGTAGTTAGTTAGCCAGAATGGCTTGTTGTAGATAAATGTCATTGAGATTGGTAGTTTGTGAGCCAGAATGTCTTGATGTAGGTAAATGTCATTGAGTTTGGTGGTTTGGGAGCCAGACTGTCTTGTCGTAGGTAAATGTCATTGAGATAGGTATTTAGTTAGCCAGAATGGCTTGTTGTAGATAAATGGCATTGAGATTGGTAGTTTGTTAGCCAGAATGTCTTGCTGAAGGTAAATGTCATTGAGGTTGGTGGTTTGTTAACCAGACTGTCTTGTTGTAGGTGAATGTCATTGAGATTGGATGTTTGTGAGCCAGAATGTCTTGTTATAGGTAAATGTCATTGAGATTGGAGGTTTGTGAACCAGACTGGCTTGTTGTAGGTAAATGTCATTTAGATTGGTGGTTTGTGAACCAGCCTGTCTTGTTGTAGGTAAATTTCATTGAGATAGGTAGTTAATTAGCCAGAATGTCTTGCTGAAGGTAAACGTCATTGAGATGGTAGTTTGTGAGCCAGGATGTCTTGTTGTAGGTAAATTTCATTGAGATAGGTAGTTAATTAGCCAGAATGTCTTGTTATAGGTAAATGTCATTGAGGTTGGGTGTTTGTGAGCCAGGATGTCTTGTTGTAGGTAAATTTCATTGAGATAGGTAGTTAATTAGCCAGAATGTCTTGTTGTAGGGAAATGGCATTGAGATTGGTAGTTTGTGAGCCAGGATGTCTTGTTGTAGGTAAATGTCATTGAGATGGTAGTTTGTGAGCCAGACTGTCTTGTTGCGGGTAAATGTCATTGAGATTGGTGGTTTGTGAACCAGACTGTCTTGTTGTAGGTAAATGTCATTGAGATTGGTAGTTTGTGAGCCAGAATGTCTTGATGTAGGTAAATGTCATTGAGATTGGTAGTTTGTGAGCCAGACTGTCTTGTTGTAGGTTAATGTCATTGAGATTGATAGTTTGTGAGCCAGAATGTTTTGCTGTAGGTAAATGCTGTTAGGTTTGGTAGTTAGTCACTTAGAATGTCTTTATGAAGGTAACTACCTTTGATATTGGTGGTTAGTTAGCCATGAATTTTCTATTTTAATTAAATGCCATTGAGTTTGGTAGTGAGTAAGCCATTAATATTCTGCTGTAGGTAAATGTCATTGATGTTACTAGGGAGTCAGCCTTAATGTCATACTGTGGGTAAATGTCATTGACTTTGGTAGTGAGTCAGCCTTAATGACCTACTGTGGGTAAATGTCATTGACTTTGGTAGTCAGTCAGATTTAATGTCCTACTGTGGGTAAATATCATTAACTTTGGTAGTGAGTCAGCCTTAATGTCCTACTTTAGGTATATGTCATTAACTTTGGTAGTGAGTCAGCCTTAATGTCCTACTATGGGTAAATGCCATTATCTTTGGTAGTGAGTTAGCCTTAATGACCTACTGTGGGTAAATGTCATTGACTTTGGTATTGAGTCAGCCTTAATGTCCTACTGTGGGTAAATGCCATTAACTTTGGTAGTGTGTTAGCCTTAATGTCCTACTGTGGGTAAATGCCATGGACTTTGGTAGTCAGTCAGCCTTAATGTCCTACTACCTACTGTGGGTAAATGTCATTGACTTTGGTATTGAGTCAGCCTTAATGTCCTACTGTGGGTAAATATCATTGACTTGGTAGTGAGTCAGCCTTAATGTGGTAGTGAGTCAGCCTTAATGTCCTACTGTGGATAAATGTCATTGACTTTGGTAGTGAGTCAACCTTAATGTCCTACTATGGGTAAATGCCATTAACTTTGGTAGTGAGTTAGACTTAATGACCTACTGTGGGTAAATGTCATTGACTTTGGTAGTCAGTCAGATTTAATGTCCTACTGTGGGTAAATATCATTAACTTTGGTAGTGAGTCAGCCTTAATGTCCTACTGTGGGTAAATATCATTGACTTGGTAGTGAGTCAGCCTTAATGTCCTACTGTGGTAGCCTTAATGTCCTACTGTGGGTAAATGTCATTGATTTTGGTAGTGAGTCAGCCTTAATGTCCTACTTTAGGTAAATGTCATTGACTTTGGTAGTGAGTCAACCTTAATGTCCTACTATGGGTAAATGCCATTAACTTTGGTGGTGAGTTAGCCTTAATGACCTACTGTGGGTAAATGTCATTGACTTTGGTATTGAGTCAGCCTTAATGTCCTACTGTGGGTAAATATCATTGACTTGGTAGTGAGTCAGCCTTAGTAGTGAGTCAGCCTTAATGTCCTACTTTAGGTATATGTCATTAACTTTGGTAGTGAGTCAGCCTTAATGTCCTACTTTAGGTATATGTCATTAACTTTGGTAGTGAGTCAGCCTTAATGTCCTACTTTAGGTAAATGTCATTGACTTTGGTAGTGAGTCAACCTTAATGTCCTACTATGGGTAAATGCCATTAACTTTGGTGGTGAGTTAGCCTTAATGACCTACTGTGGGTAAATGTCATTGACTTTGGTATTGAGTCAGCCTTAATGTCCTACTGTGGGTAAATGCGATTAACTTTGGTAGTGTGTTAGCCTTAATGTCCTACTGTGGGTAAATGCCATGGACTTTGGTAGTCAGTCAGCCTTAATGTCCTACTACCTACTGTGGGTAAATGTCATTGACTTTGGTATTGAGTCAGCCTTAATGTCCTACTGTGGGTAAATATCATTAACTTTGGTAGTGAGTCAGCCTTAATGTCCTACTTTAGGTAA